AAATGTTAATTTTTCCAAAATTCAAATACAATCTCAGGTATTAAGAAAATCAATTTTATTTTTTTAAAGGGTGTAAGAGGTTTCATGTTACTATCTGTAAACAGCTAAGGAAATAATTTTCTTTTTCTTTTTTTTTTTGAGACAGGGTCTCCCTATGTAGTTCAGGATGGCCTTGAACTCACTATGTATAATCCAGATTAGCCATGCACTCATATCAATCCTCCTGCCTCACCATCCCAAGTGCTGGGATTACAGACATGTACTACACCATGCCTAGCTAGAAAACAATTTAAAAACTATGAAAACTTCCCTTATTAAATAAATACCGAAGTCATCCTACAGGAAGAAATTAACACTTGGCTAGAAATACACAAACAAACAGATAATGGAGTAGAAAAACCTGAACTAGACAGCAGAATATACGGGAATTTGCTATATGACCAACAAACAAACAAACAAAAAAATTTCAATTAAATAAGACTGATAACTTACACAAGTGGCTATCTTGCAGAAATTAGAAGAATCAAGATTCAATACTATAACAACGCTCTTATAGAACACATATGAAACTGAGTAACATAAGGGATGAGTGAACTTCTCAATTGTAAAAGTTCAAGAATTCATTAACTAAAAAATACAATCATTTCTGACATTTCTGTGACAAGTGGTATGAAAAAGTGGAATCAACAAATGACCAGCAAAATTTTTGAGACGGTTTACCTATGTAGTTTAGGATGGCTTTGAACTCACTAAGTTCAGTCCAGACTAGCCATGACTCATAACTCACCATCCCAAGTGCTGGGATTACAGACATGTGCTACCATGTCTAGCCAGAAAACAACTTAAAAACTATGAAAACTTCCCTTATTAAATAAATACCAAAACTCACAACTAATTAAGTGTATCTATAACATTCAAAGGCAAGGCAGGAGGCATCACAATCCCTGACTTGAAGTTATACTACAAAGCTACTATAATAAAATCAACATTATACTGGAATAAAAACAGATCTGAAGGTCAATGGAATAGACTAGAAGATATAATTACAACTATAAACACTCAGCTACCTTACCTTTCATCAAGGGGCCAAACACATTCACTGGAAGAAAGATAGTCTCTTTAGTAAGTAGTGCTGGAAATACTGGCTCTCCATATGCTAAAAACTAAAACTAGACATAAGCCTATGAGCACACACTAAAGTAAAAACGGATCAAAGATCTAAATACTAAATAGAAACATTAAATCTGCTGGAAGACAAAGTAGGTTAAAAATATTGAAGACATAAGGGTAGGCAGAGAATTCATGAACAAAAATCAAACTACATGGAAAATACTTCCCAGAATCAGTAACTGGGATGTCGTCTTATTAAAAAGATTTTGCACGTTGAAATAAATCTCCAACAGAGTAAAAAGGAAACCCATGAATTTTGAAAAAATCTTAGTCAACTGTCCTTCAGACAAAAGACTTCTGTCTAGAATATAAAAGAATTAAAAAAAAATCAGACTCCCAAAATTCAAAGACCCAATCCAAAAATGGGCGTCTGAGATGAATACACAATTTTTCAGAGAAAGAAATACAAACAGCAAATTAATACATGAAAAAATGTTCAGCATCATTGCTCATTAGAGAAATGTAGATTAAAACACACTGAGATTCCATCTCACTCCAGAAAGAATGGCCAGAATCAATAACTACCAACCACAAATGTTGGAGAGGCTGTGAAGAAAAAGGAACTCTTCTGCACTGTTGGTGGGAGTGTAGACTGGTGCAAGCACTGTGGAGGTCAGTCTGGAGATTCCTCAAAAAGCTGGGATTGGGAGTCCCATTTGACCCAGCTATTCTACTTCTGGGCATATTCCCAGAACTGAAAACCAACATCATACCACAGTGATATATGTGCACCCATGTTTATAGCAGCACAATTTGTAATAGCCAGATCTTGGAAACAACCTAAGTGTCCATCAACTGAGGAATGGAGAAAAATACAATGGAGTACTACTCAGCGATAAAGAATGAGCACATTGAGATATTTATAAGTAAATGGATGCAACGTGAATCAAACTCACATGTATAAATATCATATTGTCTCTCTAGTGAAAGAAATGGTAAGATTATGTAAGATACAAAATCCTCAATAAATACGGTAAAAGGTTAAGAATCTGCTAAAAGGGGGGAAAATATAATCTCAGTGAAATGGAGGGGGAAAAAAAGGGAAGGAAAAGAAAAAATATCTAAATTTGTATAAACACACTTAGGATAGCTAAGATGATTGTGCAACAAATTCTATTAGTTCTTGGAACAAAACATTTAACATTCATAGGATTGGAACAATTTTGCATGTTTGTATCTGGTGATCTGAGGAATTCTTTTGAAGATCACTACGTAAAATAACAACCTTAGTTAAGTTCCTACCATCTTGTTTAAAAGGCCTATATTACCATTATTTTGCACTCTGCTATTGTCTTTTTTGTTTCTTGTTTTTGTGGTAATATTGCTTTGTTCTTCCCTCTAGTGCAGAAAGGATAAGAATACATGTAGAGGCTAATACACACCTAGAACTTCTTCCAGTTTATGAGAATCGACTGTATTATGTGTGATGAAATAAACAGCTACTCTGAAGAAAGAGACATTATGGTATCCACTGCTGATCTATGATCATGCTGTGAAATCCAGTAATGCTTTTATTCTTTGTTTAGAGTGGTTTTAGTCTGTTCTGAATTATTTAATTTCAACATACATGAAGGTATGGACAGTTACTTTGAAGAGAAAAAGACATTACAGTTGCCATTGTTGATTTTCCTACTGTCTGGTTTTCAAGGCCTATAACGCCTTCATTATTTTGTTCTGATCAGTTTAATAACATTTCATTTGTATGAATTCATTGTGTCAAGTTATAGATAACTATTTACAAGAAAGAGACATTATGCTAGCCACTGTTGATCTCCTGTTATCTTTGAAATCTATGTCACTTACATTGTTTTCTTCTGATCTGCTTTGTTCTGTATTGTTTTACCCTCTTTAAAATAAAATTTAAAAAATTTTTTAAAAAAGACTGGCAACAAAACAAATTAATAGTATACATATACCACAGTATACTTTATGATATCATCTAAATGACTATACATGGAAGTCAGCCCACAGAGATTTCTTTATGAGATGAGATTTTGCTATGTAAACTTAGGCTGTCCTTGAACTTACTACGTAACCTTGTGGAGATGCCTTTGCCTCAATCCCTGGAGTATTCAAGAGTACAGAGATTGCAGGAGTGTGCCATCACACTAGGCCCACACAGATTTTTGAAGAGTTAACTTTTAAACAAGAAAAATCAGTTCTGGTTTCCTCATTCTGGGTAAATTTTACTTTCTTGTGACTTACTGTACATATGCATTGTTTTCTTTCTAGTAAATGTATATTACCTAAATAAATAGGAAAAACAGAACCTTTTTTTTCAAAGATAAAAGCAAGTCCTTTAACAGAAGAGTGCTGGGCGGGGCGATTTTGTTTACCTTTTAAAGCAAAAGACATAAACATTTTAAGAAACATTATACAAAGTTTTCAAAAAAATTTCCCCCAAGATGTAAAAGATTAAAATATTTGTTGCAGTCAATTCAAAGTTTTCTGTAGTTCTTTAGCCGTAACTGTATGAATGGGTTGGGATGTAGCCCAATGGAACAGGGGCTATGCATAAAGCCTTGGGTTCAATTCCCAAAACCACAGAAAACAAAAATCAAAACAAAACAAAACATCAATGAAACAGAATGGAGGATAAGCTACTTTTTTGGTACTATTGTTTTGGTTGAACAAGCACTAGGAATATTTTCCTTTGATTGCTCTTTATGGAATAGCAAAAAATGAAAATCCCTGAGGTTCATATTAGCAAGAATAAAATAGCTATCTTCAGTGGTGGCCTAAAGCTTAACACTAGCTTTTCCTAACACATGGAAAACATCAACATGTTTGAAAGATTACTATATTCAAAAGCATCACTAAAAGGTATGAATACTATCTTAAAAAAAATTATCTGGACTCAACATGTAGAAACATTTTAAAATTATTCCCTAATCCACACAGCACTAAGCTACTTATAAAGCAATTATACTGTATTAGGTTATTAATCTAGAGAAGAGTTAATTAAACTATTTAATGATATGCATAAGTTATACGCAAATACAAAGGCATTTTATATAAGGAACTAAAGCACCAGTAGATTTTGGTATTCACTAGAGGGTCCTAGAATCAATCTCTGAAAGATACAGAGGCACAACAATATTAGAAAAAAACGTACATTAGATTTACAATAATGAACAAGGATAAATTACTTCTATTTTTATGTAATACTTAACTGAAAATTACAAGATTAATAATTATTGTATATCTACATGTACTGTTTCTTTTAATTCAAAAGATTGGAAAGAATTAAATTCAAAGAATTTATACATTAACACACGCAATTATCATTTGCTATGTTTGAATATGATTTCTCCTAACTGTGGTCCTCAATGTGGCAACGTTGGGGAGGGCTGCCTTTAAGAGGTGACTAAGAGGTTATTATGAGGAATTAATGCTTCAGCTCTTTCTCCCTCTTTAACCATGTAACTTCCACACATCCTACAGACTGTTCTTACATGTATTCTCGCTATGTATTTAATGTTTTCTTTTACACTGTGAGGTAGCCACGTAGCTGTTACTAGAGGTTTACCGATGAAGTGCCCCAATCTTGGGACATTTCCGTCTTCAAAACTGGGATCCACAGAAACCTCTCTTCTTTGTAAAGTTATCAGCTCAGTATTTTGTTATAGCTACACTAACACAAGGACACAATTTGTCTTTTAAATTCCATCAAAATTAATTTTAAAATGAATCAAATTTTAAAATTATTCAATCTTTGGCATTAGAAACTATGGAATAATTTGGATTATGTTTAGAATAGAAATAAAGATCAGTGTAGTAGGGTAAACATAGGGCAATATACCTATTTCAGAAATTAAAACAGTACTTACTGCACCAGATGCTGCACCTAAAAGACAAAAAATAAAATATTTACAGTGATAAATCATATTCTCCTTTTTAAACATTTCAACATTAATTCACATTATTTCCTCCTCCTTGGTTTTCTTTCCCACAAATGAACATGTATAGAGCAAAGCATTTTCAGAACTTGTATTTTCAATATCTAAACTCACCTGGAGCCAGTTTAAGAAGTATACATCTTATCTTTAGTTTCTCTTCTTACCACTATACGTGTCTATATCTCACCTAACTCTTCTTTCTTTGCTATACATATTACAAAAGCACAATAATGTCTCTGGGCTCTAGTCTTATGCATTAGATTTCTGGGACCTGCAACTATCTCAAGTTCTAAATCTATGCTGTATAAAAGCAAAAGCCATTGGCTACAACATATTTACGTTTAAATTAAAATTTAAACAGATTAAATAAAAATTTTAGAAAAATTGGTTTGGTATTTATTAGCTACATTTCAAATACTCAGTAATTACCTGTGGTTATTGACTACTGTATTTGATAGTCCAGTTTACAGAAAATTCCTATCACTGCTGAAAATTCTTTAGATGGTACTACCCCTACATACTTCAGAAAACCCTTTGAGATTTGAAAGATTTTGAAATGTATTAGTGAAAACAATCTTTAACATAAGAACTAGTTAATTTAAAATTGTACATAGCAATTAGCTATAATCATGCTGTGGATAAACCTCATGCTATGATACTGGGAGAGTTAAAATTGTACATAATAAGAAAACAAAGATTGTAAAGCAAAAAAACAAAACAAAACAAAAACCCCAAACATGAGAACTACTACAGATGCCCACAGTAAAACTAAAACGTTGCAAAAGTCATTAAAAGTAAGTTTTAATGTAATTTTTCAGGATTACTTAGGTAATAGTACCCAGGAAACACATATCTACAAAAGACTTTAAAAACTGTATATAGTAGGTATTTTGGAACAAACAGTGCAAATAATGAAATTTATGAAACATCTTAAAAAGACCAATTTATAGAAAAGCACACATGTATTTTCAACATGCTTCAACCAGTAACATTTAAAACAAAAATTTGATATATTCACAGGACAATGTTCAGGCATTGGTATTTTAATTTATATGGAAAACTTCCTATTCATGAATAACCAAAGCATTATTATATACAAGTCTCACTAGTCAAAATGATCAAATATTGGTCCTAACATAAACAAAAATGAAAAGACAGGGCTTTTAAAGGCCAACAACTACAAGGGCCATGAGACTGACATGAAATAGACCAGAAGCCCAAGGAGAGAGAACCAGAAGCTCAAGGAGCTTCATATGTAATGTATGGAGCTGCTACCCTATTCCCATGTTTGCTGAGGAAAAGTACAGAATCTGACTTCATTCATTCACAAATATTTTGCGAGTACCTATTATCTTGATGTTAAAACACTGAAATCCAGATCATCTAACGTTTCAACATAAACTGTTATTAAGATCTATACTTTACATGTGTGTAGTAACTAAAAAATTTAAAATCACTCTGGGAATCAAAACCTCTTTTATACAATAAATCTGGTTTAGAACTTCTCACTTAAATCTATGATAATTTCTTAAGAATTCAATTGTAAATGTTTATTCCTATTTCTTACTGCCAAAAAAATTGAAAAGACACAAGGAAGTGATCATGAAGTCTTAAGTTCCTCACTGCAATATAGCTGTATCTATCCAAATGAAATTGATCAACATGATATGCATACCTGCTGCTACATCCATACTGTTTACTCCTGGCTGTAAGAAGAAAAATGAAATAATTAATATTTATGTCTTTAACTACACTTTTATGTTACTAACAGAACACAGAAAGTTAGTCCCTTCCTTTTATGTACAATACCCAAGCTATTGACTCAAAAACTCTACAAGTTTTAATGGTTTTACTTTTACTCAGAATTCTGAAACCCACAAAGCTCTGCAAACCAACTCTGCATGACAAGGAAGCTCATTATTGTACAAAACCTGTCATGAATGAAACCAAACCATTTATACTGTTTATTTATCCTACACCTCAAAGTGAATATCTGCAAGTGTTACTAGAAATTGTAAGGCACTGCCCAGCCTCCACAGGAAATTTTTACCTAACAAATAGTATGCCAAATGTTACTTTCTAATTCAGAATTTTAAAATATGTAAGGCCTTATGGTTTTGTGTAAAACACTGCAAAATTACCACCCTAAGAGAGTCTGTCATACCTGTACAATATAGCCACTAGGTTATCAGGAAATAAAGAAGTTAACTAATTTGAAGATTGTAGTAATTTGTACAAGGTATGGTGGTACACAAACTATGTGTTGCTACCCAACTAGGGCATTAAGTCTGTTCAAATATTTTCTAAGTAATTTGCCACAGCTGAAGTCTACATGAGATCTGGACTGCAAATCAAATCCTCTGATTTGTAAATCTATTATTAAACTGTATTTATCAGTTTTTAATTAGCACTCATTAAAGTAAACATTTACTCTTTATTACTAGGAAAAATATAAACACTCATCATTTCAACTTACACAAACTAAAACCAAAAGTCCACTGTTAAGTCCCATATTGCATTGTAATTCTCCAAAATCATTTATAAGGCTAACACGATTGACTATAAAGGATCTGTATCATTACACATATAAAAGTAATCAACTGAAAAAAAAAAAAAAAACACCACAGAAAATAGTTGTTTTCATAAGATTACCGGTAAAGCAGGTTGCATGGAAGCCTGAGACATATGAGACATCATCATTCCAGGCATTACTGAAGACATCATTCCAGGCATCTAAAACAGAAGTAAAAAAAGTTTACCAGGTAAGACCAAAACGTTTAATTAATCCTAAACACTGTATAAATTAATAAAACCCACTGAAATGATATTGTATGAATAGTATGCTTAGTAGGTGCTTGTTGAATGAATGAAGTACTCTATCAATGATATGTTGTAATGTTCACGCTACAGTGTAGAGAGAAAATTACTTTTAACAAGTGAGTATAGAAAGTATACGAGTATACAAACTACTGGGGCCAGAGATATAGCTCAGCAGCACAGGGGCCTGCCTGGCAAGTCGTACAAAGTCCTGAGTTCAATTTCCAGTCCAAAAAAAAAAAAAAAAAAAGGACAAATTATTGTATTATTTCTAGCCTAAACTTAAGAATATTCACTTCATTTTAGTTTTAGGCGAACATTCAGGCTTTTCTGCCTGTTTGGAGGAAGAAAATCTAAAGCCTTTTCAATACTTTTTTCTTCTGCCTTTTAATACTTGTATTGAATAAAATGTATCAATGACCTGGTTCTTTTCAAAATCTTAGATCAAAAGTGCTTAAAATGTAAACAAGTGCCTTAAAAATATACAAGAAAACAAACTTGTAATAATACACCATTTGTCCCTTCTCTTGTACAAGAAATTTAATAGTACATATACAAATTCCTAAAGATACAGTGGCACTTTGATTCATGAACTTAATTTTTCCCCCAATTTTGGAAAAAAATTTTTTGTGTGGAGAAAGATGTCTGAAGTCATGTTTGTCACCAGATATAGAGTTTGTAACAAAAACAAAAGTTTGCCAAGCACTTTTCTTTGCAAATCAAATCATACACAAACAAAAGCATTTGTCAATCAAGGTACTACTGTATTTGAGTTCAATCTGTTTTACAAAGGACCACTATTCAAATCTATGAATTTTCTTTACATATGAATCAAAATCATGACAATTAATGCAGGTATAAAAGATACAACCCAATGCTTAATGTTAGTTTAATTCCACATTATAATTTTAATATGAATATCGAAAGGACCTAAGGAAACCAAAAAGTGGACAAAATTTACCTCTGATAACCAAAGATACTGGAACAAGGCAATCAGTTAATCAAATCTCAAATTAGAGAAAAGGGAACATAAAAGCGAAAGCATATTGATCAACAAGAACACACAAATTAAAGCTTAGACAAAAACAATCACACCGAATTTTATTACTTGTCAAAGTCAATTCATGAGGCCAAACAAAGCTAAAATATCTAGTAAAATAAATCAGCACAAAATTAATGGATTAAAAAACAATCAACTGAAGTCGGTTATGGTAACACACAACTCTAATCTCAGCACTTGGAAGGCTGCGGCAAGAGAACTGTTGGAATATCAAGGCCAGCCTGGATTATATAGTGAGTTCAAGACCGGTCTGAACAATACAAGTAGTCTGTCTCAACTGCGACACTCTGCTTAACAAAACACAAAACAAAAAACCCCAATCAACTGTTTAAATATCATTAAGCAACTTTTCAATAGAATTTGTGAGTTGTGAACAGAAGTAGTGGCCTACCTGGAATATATGACACCTCCTTCCAAAAAAAAAAAAAAAAAAAGGCATAGGATTTAGCACTGACAAGCCTCTGTAAAACTCTTATTAGAGAAATTACATATACCTGTGTAGGATGGGGTGGGTTTGGTGAATACATCAAACAAGACAGAACCAGGCCTGCTCCTAGACTTGTGGTGGTGAACCTTTTAGGGCTTTCAATGGTATAAACAGCCAGCTGTGGCACAAGTACCACAAGTTCATCACCATTAGTTCACATATTGTCCAAACAAATAAATCCTCACAATTTTACATGAGGCTAATGCAAAATAAATTGAATCTGGATTAGTTATATGGGAAAAGTAATACAGAAGCACAGTGGCAAGAGACAACAGAAATCACCTACTTCACAGTGGTTTAATTTAAAATCAAAAGTACCATATGCAAAGGCAGAATTCTAAGCTAATTTCAGAAATCAGTTTTAAAACCTAAGAGAAAAAAAATAACTTTCCACAGAAGAATGAAAAAACATTTTAAACAGTACGATAAAACAATAACAAAACCAAACCTCCACAGTGCAATGTGGTAGCAGTACAAAGAGCAAGAGAACTTAACTCTAAGTGGGAACATTTTCATTTATAACGGATCAAACTTCATTTTAAAAAACAAAGCCAAATAAAACCTACATATAACAAGAGGTTACTAAACCAGGCCAAAAAGACAGCAAATGATAGAACACACAGACTTTGAGAAAGTTGCCTCTTTCACTATCCTTCCCACAGCTCAAACTTTAAAACACCTCAAAAATTTTCCTCTATGGCAGGATTCATGGTATTGGTTATACAATGAAATTTATGAGCAAGTGAAAAACTCCACTTTCTCTTAGTAATCCTTATAAATTTTGGGAGGTAAAGACTCATTAAGCTTGTTTTACATGATAAACTTTATCTATGAAATTTCTAAATGATATACCACCGAATAGTCCAAAACAGCTCCTTTATACAATGCTTAACCAAACCTGTGATATTATAAACATGAAACCAAGAAACAAAAACATCAACATGCAAAATACTTTATCTCATATAAAATTTATACAAATGTGACAAATTTAGACTGCCTGTAGAGGCCACAGAAAGCACTTGTTCGCAAGTCTGAAAAATCTACTTTGTGAAACTGCTGTAGTGATTCTCCTTTTTATTAGTTCTTGAATATCAAAAACACGGTCATTCATTTTACAATCTTTATGTTTGAAGTGGAATTCTTTCAGAGGACTTCTAATGACTTAACATCAGTCACCTGACAAGTAGTGGTTTTTTTTGTTTTGTTTTGCTTTTGACTTTTTGAGACAGGGTCTTGTTCTGCAGTTCAAACTGGCCTTGAGTTCACTTTGTAGCCCAGGCTGGTCTTGAACCTGCAAAGATCCTCCAGCCTCAGCACCCTGAGTGTTAAGATTACAAGCTAAGATTACTTTACCATGCCCAGTAAAGTTACTTATTATCATTTTAACACCACAGTATTAATGGGAATCTAGGCTACAAGCTTGTAAGAATAGCTGGCTTGTAGCTTAAATCCTCTAAGTGATTTGTCCTTCCCTCTTCCCAATAACCCAAAGTTGATATTCAGATTACTCTGTTGTTACTTTATGCTTGCTAGATGTACTCTCTTACTTCACATGGACAGCACAATTTTTAAATATTTCGGCATTCACTGTAATCATACTTCCTACTTAGGTTTCCTCTTCCCTCTTGGGAGCATATAAAATAACAGTATCTCAACCTTGATAACAGTTTAAATGTCAATAAAAATGGCATATGGGCTCAAAATTATTGCAGGGAAGCACTTTTTTTTAAATTTAGGTATATTAGTATATTACAAGAGAGTTGATATATATCTTCTTTTTTTTTATTGGCCCCTTCCTTCCCTTCATCTCTAGCTATCTTTCCCATTTACAGAGGATCTATCACCTTATTTCATATTATTCATCTTTGAGAACCCATGTGATGTTTTTGCTTGTGTGTCTAATTTATTAATTTTATAAACAGCACTCATAAAGCTACAAAATGGTAATTGACAGCTTAACGTAAACCGTATTATAAAACTTAAAACACATATTGCTTTACAAATTTCCATTTAAACTACTTTGGCAAATATGTATACACATTATACAAAACAATTTCTATGCACATTTCTGTTTCCTAGTCACAAGGGCAATTATCCAGGTTTTTTCAGAAGACACACAGGTTTGAGGAAAACAAATGAACAAAACTTAGAGGGTGTCACATAACTAGTTCAAAGTCAGACATACATGAGTATGTTTCACTTATCACTTCAAATTGTTTAAAAATGAAAAATAAATGTGATAAAAGCAGTATCAATGCTACAGCAATAAGTTGTATAAAATATACTGTGTCAAATTTTACTATGATATGCACAGAAAACAAACATAAAGGCCTTCATAATTCCTTTACTAAATTATCTCTTCCTTGAAAAAAAATCACTAACAACCTGACCTTTTATCTAGCTTCATAGACAATCGTTTGAAAAAAATTTTAAATTTAGATGATTTTTAAAAATAACTGTTGGTAAAAGCATGTAGTTTTAAGCTGATAACCAGAGTATTTCATTCTTACCTCTTTATTTGGCTCCTTTTAAATGTACTGAAGTCAAATTCTACAAGATACTTATACAGTCAAAGAAACGTTGTAAAGTATTCTAAAAACAACTTTCTTATGCACCAATAAACTACTCTGAGTAAATCTAAAGTAAGTGCAAAATATTGTAAGTACAAAGACCGAAACTATAAATGGAATTAAACATTCATCCCAAAGTAGAAAATCACTTAACCTGCACAAAACGTCATCCTATGCATGGCACACACATACCAATATTCCCATCACTTAGGAGGCTGAGGCAGGTGCACTACTTACTACAAGTTTGCAGCCAACCTAGGCTACATAGGGAGTCCAGGCCTGCCTGGGCTACCTACCAAGACCTTATCTCAAAAACAAAGCAAAAAAATAAGTCATTGTGTGAAACATAGCCTTACCATTTTATGAGACAACTGCTGGCATTATGTAGCAATATGGCAGGACATTTACAAGAAACAAGGCACCTAGTACTGTCTGAGACTTCAGCCATGGACTGTTAGAAGTCATTTTCCCTAAATAAAGACTGAGGAAGTTAACTCAATTAATTGTATAATTGTTTACTGTCAATTAGAGAAGCAGCCCAACACACAATTAAGTATACTCTTTTGTCAAACTCCTAGCATGTATGTATGTAATCTTGGGCTAATTTGACTTTGACCTCTCTGGACCTCAATTTTATCCCCAGTGGCAAAAATAGTACCACCCACTTGACTTTAGAGAATAATTGCAGGGCTAAAACATAGATAAAAGATTCAGAACAAAGCTCAATAAACAGTGTGGAGGATATAGCTCAGCAGCATGAGTACCTGTCTGGTAAGCGCAAGATTCTGAGTTTGGTTTC